CTGCAAAATTTAGCCAATCAGATTTTTTAGCTTCAACATCAGCCAAACTTCAGCATCAGCCGTAACAATAAATATTATAATAATGTGAAATATGAGTGTCGACAAGCGAAAACAGGGAATTGTGAGTTTTCCAAAATTAATTTTACAGAAACCCCGAAAAATGTGATTTAACACATATAATTTATGTTGTGCTTAATTAAATTTATCAGGAATCGGATCAGAAAGCGGAGCCGGCAAAAATCGAAATTGCTGGTTTTTGCTTGGCAGCACTCATATAATACAATACTATTACACTATAATATGATATGGTGTGAGTGCTCTACGAACATACGTATGTACAGTACCTCAGAAAGTACATCACGGTTACACAAAAAGCACCCCCAAGAACATATGAAAAATTGCTTTTAGAGAAATAGGAGAGGCTAGATGCATCAATTTTCATGAATAATCAACAGTATTCTAAATTATACTGCTGAAGTATCTCTAATGAAGGTTATGGTTGCAAATATTGATGCATTATCTTTAACATATGTATTGTAATAATATATTGCCGAATTGGTATATTGATATTTGGGGTGTCAGTAGAAACTAAGCAAGTTAGTGAGTTTTTTTAAAATTTTAAATTAAAATATCTCAATATCTATTAAACTAAACTTGATAAAAAAATTTTTATTTTAATTTATAACTATATAAAATTAAAATAAAAAAATTTATCAAGTTTTGTTTAATAGTTATTGAGATATTTAGTTCAAAGGTTAAAAAAAAATCACTTAGAAACAAATTGTTTGGCATCCCATTTATGATTAATTTGCTAAGCAATAAATTTACATGTTTAGAAAATTTATGTTGTTTTTGTGTAATTATAATATATTTTCTAAGAGCACTGTATAACTTTACAAATATTGAATATATAATTGCTAAAAGAATATTATTTTTCTGATAATATCAAAATCCTAACAAGTTAGCCTACAGTTAGGGTTGTTGTTAGTTCTGGTCAATTTTTGTCAGAAAAATAATAAAGATCTATAGCTGAAAAGTATTTAATCTAATTAGTAAATTTATTATATAGTGCTTTAAAAATTCATATCAACAGATTTGCAAAATTGAAATTAAATCAGTATATAAAAATAATTTGATTAATTAACTATAATAATTCAAAATTTTTGTATCATTATTGTTAATTATCCCTTAAATTATATATAAATATAATAAAAATATAATAAAACTTGTATTAAATAGAAATTTTATATTTTTTAATTACTAAAATTGAAAATATATTTTACAAATCTAATTCTGAAAGTTTACCAATATATTTAGAATAAATATATACATTGTATTATGCAATGCACTTGTATATCGCACCTCAATATAAACAATAAAGCTAATTGCAAATTCGTGAAATATAATATCACATCAAATCAATTTTTATATATAGGTTAAGGTTGATAGTGAGAGATTAGGGTAGGTACAGTATACAGTAAAATTTTGCAAGAAATTTTTTTTATTAAAATATTAAAAGTGGTTTCATAAGCAAAATTTTGAGATATTATCAACTTCTTTAAAACCCAAAAAATTTAACATTATACCTGATCTTTACAGATATACAATTTAATTAGTAGATCGTTAAAATGCGATATATAAACACATTGTATGGTATGATATCTAATTAAATCCATATATTTATTGCATTACAGTATTTCAATACTATAATTATAGTATTAGATATTACAGTATTATAGAATTATAGCAAATAATATAGCACATACTATTGCCATATTAATTTGTCAAATTAATTTTACTATTAACTATAGTTATAGAGGCTAATTAGTATTTGATTTATTAAAAAAAATAAAATTACACTTGACCTCTTGCTAATATCAATCTATTTGGACTATTTTTATATTTATACTAATAGTGATATTAAAAAGCAAAAGTAGTAAATAACCTGAAATAATCTAAATAACAAATAATAAGCTATTTGTTATTTTAGACTTAAATAATCTTAGAAAATTATTTAGTACAGTATATATAGTTATACCTCTAAATACATACCCCCTAAGTGCAAGTACTATATAAAACTTCTCTAAATGCATAATACAGTTTGGCTCCAACTTATAAGAATCTATATATTTTATTTTCTATAAGTGCAAACCTTCTCTAAGTGCAAAATTTTAATTTTTTTCACTATGATCCCAATGGAATATACTTAGAAAGATGCAACTATATTAGTTAATATTTTAATATCTTTTAACCAATTAGAATTAGTTATCAAACAAAATTAAATTTTATAAAAATATAATCAATATTGTAGCTATATATCAAGATTAAAATATATATTATTCTAGTTATATTAATATCTGGATATAATATCATAGTAAAATCTTTCTATATAAACTTTTTTTTAAAATTTAATATAAAATATTAGTATAACTCACTATATCGATATTTTGAATTGTTTATTAATTGGTGATTTATCAGTCAACCAGTGAGAGGTTATAGTATAATATGACGTGGTTTATATATAGAAATTAAGATTTTGCGAATATGGACTGCATCATTCTAAAACTTTTTTTGTACTAAGTTAACCATCTTTGGGCTTCTAATTGAAGTTGTAGAGCTCATTAAGATGAATCTAATAGTGGTTAAATTATTGAAATCAGCATTGTAAATTATAAGATATCTTTAAAAAACTTTTTACCAACTATGTAAAATTCTTTTCAACAATAGTATTGTTAAAAGAGAATTTTACATAATTAGTAAAATGTTTTTTGAAAATATCTTGTGATCTATAAGGCCAATTTTGATGATTTAACTACTATTATATTTGTCTCAATAAGCTCTACAACTTCAATTAGAAGCCCAAAGATAGTTAACTTAGTACAAAAAAAGTTTTAGAATGATATAACCCACATTCACAAAACTCTAATTTCTATATATAAACTATATTATATTATACTATAATCTCTCACTGGTTGATTGGCAAATCACCAATTAATAAAAAAAATTGTTAATACTGTCAGCTCTCTCAAAACTGGTATACATAGTAAACAAGTTCTGTATTAATTTTAGTAGATTATCAGATTTGAAAATATTATATGATCAAATAGTCAAACATTAGCAAATCAAATTGCAGAATTAGTATCTGTTAGAGGTTTGTGGTACAAATTTGCAATAATAAAACTTTACTAAAAAGTTTATTGCTATTAGAGTCTGTATTTATATTAGGATTAGATGCTAGCTAAATATATAGCAAATTTATTTGAAAAACTTTTAGTTAGAGTATTAAAAGATTTTTATTCAGTTTTTTGAGAAATAAGTGATTTTTGTACCCTATCATTAATTTGATTAGCTGAGTTCCATGTGACTATATCAGAAACTTAAATAAATTGGATATCAGATATCAGAAATGACAGGTTATTGAATATTACTTATAGAACTGACATGATGAATCAAATTTTAATCATTTATAGCAGGTTATCAGTTTTAACAGAATTAGTTTTGGAAGGGCCAATAGTATATCTAAAATAATAATGTATTACTAAATCAATTAATTGGTATTTGTCAATCAGCCAGTGAGAGGTCATAGTATAACATAACACAGTTTACTTATAGAAATTAGGGTTTTGTGAATGTAGGTTGCATCATTCTAAAACTTTTTTTGTACTAAGTTAACTACCTTTAGGCTTCTAATTGAAGTTGTAAAGCTTGTTGAAAGGAATCTAATAGTGGTTAAATTGTCAAAATTGGCCTTGTAGATCACGAGATATCTTTGAAAAACATTTTACTGACTATGTAAAATTATCTTTTAATGTTAAAGAAGAATTTTACATAGTCAGCAAACCATTTTTGAAGATATCTCATGATTCACAAGGCTGATTTTGACAATTTAACTACCATTAGATTTTTCTTAACAAGCTCTACAACTTCAATTAGAAGCCCAAAAGTAGTTAATTTAGTACAAAAAAAAGTTTTAGAATGATGCAGCCTATATTTGCAAAGCTTTAATTTTTATAAGTAAACCACATCATATTACACTATGACCTCTCACTGGCTGACTGGCAAATCACTAATTAATATTTATACTTTAAGTAAAGTTGTTTAAAATAATAATTTGTATATATTTTAAAATTTTTATATAAATTAATTTAATTCGTGATCCGCTTCCAAACCAGTGAAAATTATTAGTATTATTTGAGGTAAAATTTTGTAGATCATTTAAGAAAAGTCTAGCAGTTAGCAGTTTTTGGATATAAGATAACGCTACCAACGAAAAACTTGTTCATGCCAAATATATAACAGAATGTATATGCAAACTTCAAGAATATACTATTTTGATTTTTTTCGCTTAATTAATAATAATAAAAAAAGTTATTTGCCGACAATGCCAGATTCTGAGATAAAAACTGATTCACGATTTTATTATTTCGTGCATTTTAATATAAATATTAGAACTAGAGACATTATGATCTATATTTTTTGATTTTATTTTCTAAATAGAAAACATTTTTTTAAAAAAAAAAAAAATCAAAAAACAGGTTTATAATGTCTCTAAAGCACATGAATTATTATTTAATATGCAATACTACGTAAAACTTTATTACTAACACTCGTATTACAATTTATATTTTAGAATTGTCAAATTATACCTGTCTGAGCTATATGTTCACGATGTTGACAAGTATAATGGCCTATCCAGCTTTGAATAGTAGATACTTTTGGAATAGCTTCGGCTTCAATTTCATCCTCAAGTACCCTTTGCTGAAGAGCTTCATACATATCTTGCGCGGTATAGTGATCACTTTTGTCTGCTTCATCAGCTAGAAAATATCCCCCCAATATTTTTTTTACTTTTTTTGCAATTCTTTTTCCAACTCCCTTTTTTCTATATTTTTGCTTCTCTTTTAATACCCATCTCGATGGTAATGAAAAATTTATAGTATTCGTACTAGATATTATCTATGTAAGTATATGTTATTAAAGTGTTGAATTGGA